AAACATAGAAACATAGAATGTGACGGCAGATAAGAACCATTCGGCCCATCTAGTCTGCCCAATTTTCTAAATACTTTCATTAGTCCCTAGCCTTATCTTATAGTTAGGATAGCCTTATGCCTATCCCACGCATGCTTAAACTCCTTTACTGTGTTAACCTCTACCACTTCAGCTGGAAGGCTATTCCATGCATCCACTACCCTCTCAGTAAAGTAATACTTCCTGATATTATTTTTAAACCTTTGTCCCTCTAATTTAAGACTATGTCCTCTTGTTGTGGTAGTTTTTCTTCTTTTAAATATAGTCTCCTCCTTTACTGTGTTGATTCCCTTTATATATTTAAATGTTTCTATCATATCCCCCTGTCTCGTCTTTCCTCCAAGCTATACATGTTAAGATCCTTTAACCTTTCCTGGTAAGTTTTATCCCGCAATCCATGAACCAGTTTAGTAGCCCTTCTCTGAACCCTCTCTAAGGTATCAATATCCTTCTGAAGATACGGTCTCCAGTACTGTGTACAATACTCCAAGTGAGGTCTCACCAGTGTTCTGTACAATGGCATGAGCACTTCCCTCTTTCTACTGCTAATACCTCTCCTATACAACCAAGCATTCTGCTAGCATTTCCTGCTGCTCTATTACATTGTCTGCCTACCTTTAAGTCATCAGAAATAATCACCCCTAAATCCCTTTCCTCATATGTTGAGGTTAGAACTCTATCAAATATTCTGTACTCTGCCCTTGGGTTTTTACGTCCAAGATGCATTATCTTGCACTTATCCACATTAAATGTCAGTTGCCACAATTCTGACCATTTTTCTAGTTTACCTAAATCATTTGCCATTTGGCTTATCCCTCCTGGAACATCAACCCTGTTACATATCTTAGTATCATCAGCAAAAAGACATACCTTACCATCAAGACCTTCTGCAATATCACTAATAAAAATATTAAAGAGAATGGGTCCAAGTACAGATCCCTGAGGTACCCCACTGGTGACAAGTCCAAGCTTCGAATATATTCCATTAACTACAACCCTCTGTTGCCTGTCACTCAGCCACTGCCTTACCCATTCAACAATATTGGAATCCAAACTTAAAGATTGCAGTTTATTGATAAGCCTTCTATGTGCAACAGTGTCAAAAGCCTTACTGAAATCTAGGTAAGCAATGTCTACTGCACCACCCTGATCTATAATTTTAGTTACCCAATCAAAAAAATCAATAAGATTAGTTTGGCATGATCTCCCTGAAGTAAACCCATGTTGTCTCTGATCTTGAAATCCATGTGTTTTTAGATGTTCAACAATCCTATCCTTTAACATGGTTTCCATCACTTTCCCCACTACTGAAGTAAGGCTTACTGGCCTATAGTTGCCCGACTCCTCCCTATTACCTTTCTTGTAAATGGGCACAACATTCGCTAACTTCCAATCTTCTGGGACTACTCCTGTTAACAATGATTGGTTAAATAAATCTGTTAATGGTTTTGCTAGTACACCACTAAGCTCTTTTAATAGCTTTGGGTGTATTCCATCAGGTCCCATTGACTTATTTGTCTTTACTTTTGACAGTTGAAATAGAACCTCTTCCTCTGTAAACTCACGTGTAATAAATGACTCATTTATCCTTTTTCTCAACTGAGGTCCCTTTCCTTCATTTTCTTCTGTAAATACAGAACAAAAATATTCATTGAGGCAGTCAGCCTGACCTTTATCCTCTTCTACATACCTTCCTTCTTTTGTTTTTAATCTAACTAATCCTTGTTTTACTTTTCTTTTCTCATTTATGTATCTAAAAAATGTTTTATCCCCTTTTTTACTGACTGTGCTATTTTCTCTTCTGTGTGTGATTTGGAAGCTCTTATAACTTGCTTAGCCTCTTTCTGCCTAATCTTATAGATCATTTTGTCTCCCTCACTCTGGGTTTTTTTATAATTCCTAAATGCTAACTTTTTGTTTTTAACTATTTTGGCCACATCTGCGGAGTACCACAGTGGTTTCTTGAATTTTTTGCTTTTACTGACAAGCCTAATGCAATTTTCTGTTGCCTTCAATAGTGCAACTTTTAAATAATCCCATTTTTCTTGGACTCCATTTAAATTGCTCCAGTCTGATAATGACTCCTCTACCCATATTCTAATTTTAGAAAAGTCTGTTTTTCTAAAGTCTAAAACTTTTGTTTTTGTGTGGTGTGACTCAGTCACTGTTCTTATATTAAACCACACTGACTGATGATCACTGGATCCTAAACTTTCACCTACAGTAACATCTGATACCAAATCTCCATTTGTTAACACTAAATCTAGTATGGCCTCTTTACGAGTTGGCTCCTCAACAACTTGCTTTAGAGACAACTCCAGTAGGGAGTTTAGAATATGTGTGCTCCTGGCACAAGTAGCTAATTTTGTTTTCCAATTTACATCAGGAAGATTAAAGTCACCCATGATGATAACTTCCCCCTTCATTGTCATTTTAGCTATTTCCTCAACTAGTAGATTATCTAACTCTTCAATTTGTCCAGGGGGCCTATAAATCACACCTACACGAGTTACTGTGTGATTACCAAATTCTAACGTAGCCCAAACGGACTCTATGTTTGCCTCACTAACTTTTATTAGGCTAGATTTTATGCTATCCTTCACATACAAGGCCACCCCTCCCCCTTTCTTGCCTTCCCTATCTTTCCTATATAAAGAGTACCCTGGTATTGCTATGTCCCAGTCATTTTTCTCATTGTACCATGTCTCAGTAACAGCGACTAAATCTACACTATCAGTTGCCATTATTGCCACAAGTTCATGGATCTTATTCCCTAAACTGCGAGCATTTGTAGACATGACTCTAAGCTTATCATTTTTTAACACACTTGCTACAGGCACCTTCTGTCCTTGTTTTGGGGACAATTGGATTGATGTTTTATCACCCTTTTGCCCCCCCCTCCTAGTTTAAATACATCCTAGCAAAACCTCTGAACTGCTCACTGAGAACATTTGTTCCCTTTTGAGAAAGATGCAAACCATCTTTTTGTACAGCTTATCTCCATTCCAAACAGAGCTACCATGAGAAATAAAGCCAAATCCTTGCTCCCGACACCATTCACCAAGCCACAAATTAAAGTCCCTAATACGCATCCGCCTGTCGTTCTGAGTGTTATGCACAGGCAGAACTTCAGAGAATGACAGTGTGGAAGCAACCTGCCGTATATCATTGGCAAAAACACTAAAAACTTCCTTAACCTCTGAAACCTCATTGCAAGCCAAGTCATTTGTCCCTAGATGGACAAGTACATCCAATTCCCCTTCCTGCTTTGCTTGCTTAACAATATTACAGATACGTCTCCTGTCTCTGTGAGCAGTAGCTCCGGGAAGACACCTCACAAGACCACCATTGTCCATCTCCACACCTCTTATAATGGAATCACCCAACAACAACTGCTTTCTATTAGGCTTCACCATACTCCATACTCTCCAAGCCGGTCTCCACAACACCACTAGTCTCAGTGCCTCTCTCCACAACACCACTAGCCTCAGTGCCTCTCTCCACAACACCACTAGCCTCAGTGCCTCTCTCTACAACACCACTAGCCTCAGTGCCTCTCTCTACAACACCACTAGCCTCAGTGCCTCTCTCTACAACACCACTAGTCTCAGTGCCTCTCTCCACAACACCACTAGTCTCAGTGCCTCTCTCCACAACACCACTAGCCTCAGTGCCTCTCTCCACAACACCATTACACTCTGAAAGTGCAGAAAATGAATTATGAAGAGCAACAGACTGTGCAAAATGCCTTTTATCCACAACTCTAAGTCTACCAGATCCTACAGTAATCCATCTGCCTTTCCTAGCATGTCTCTGCGGCAGTGGCTTTGCAGCAGTTCCAGTCTGAGTTTCTTCACCAGATAATTTACAAATCTCAGACTTCAAAAATACAATCTCCTGCCGCAAGATAGAGAACTGTCTACAGATTAGACAACAACCAAACCTCCAAAAAGTGGAACGTGAAACAAATGCATAGCAATTGTTACACTGAACTAAACCTGCCATTCCAATTATAAGAATAATATAAATCGAACAAATCTTAACTTTTGTATTTATCCTCCTGAATACCTCAGATTACCTCCAGGTTATCTCCAGAATATCTCCAACTACACACTTAGAAACAGCACTCTCCAGAATATCTCCAACTACACACTTAGAAACAGCACTCTCCAGAATATCTCCAACTACACACTTAGAAACAGCACTTGGAAGTAGCACCAAGCTATATTAGACAAGCTAATGGAACCAGGCCTTATATAACTCCTAAAATCACCGCCCACTAGGAATGATTAACACCTGGGTAGGCCTCTGCTTATTTGCAAACAATAGCTAATTAACCAGCAATCAATAGCAAGTAACTAGCTTAATCAAATCAAATGCCTTATAATTACCAACAGGAATTCAAACCTTGTGCAATCAGTAACCTTTTCCTACAGATGAATCTTACCTGTAACAGTAGAAAAGAAAGCTCTTAGCACAACTCTTAGACAGTTGAAGCTTCTGTAAAACTCTCCAGAATATCTCCAACGACACACTTAGAAACAGCACTTGGAAGTAGCACCAAGCTATATTAGACAAGCTAATGGAACCAGGCCTTATATAACTCCTAAAATCACCGCCCACTAGGAATGATTAACACCTGGGTAGGCCTCTGCTTATTTGCAAACAATAGCTAATTAACCAGCAATCAACAGCAAGTAACTAGCTTAATCAAATCAAATGCCTTATAATTACCAACAGGAATTCAAACCTTGTGCAATCAGTAACCTTTTCCTACAGATGAATCTTACCTGTAACAGTAGAAAAGAAAGCTCTTAGCACAACAATATAGACGAATGGCAAATTAATTTGAAACTGGAAGCACAAGTCTACTATTTAGGAGTAACGTATCCATTTTTTTTCAAGTTAACATAAATAAAGAAATAAAATGGATCGTGTTTTATTTTCTAACTCTAGAACCGATGCCGGTGAAACAGCTCAGAAATAATGGAACAACTACTGTATCTGTTTTCCTGATTTGGGGTCAACCTGATGAGTATAGAAGTGATTACACCTACAGAGTACAAACAGCCAGCCCTTTATCTGTAGTGATAGATCAAAGAACGGCATCAAATCAACTCAATGTAACTAATCTGTCACCCGGAGTAACATATACATTCACTGTATTTACAAGAGCCGCTGATAATGTCACTGAAAGTCAAGCTGTCTCATATACAACCTGCACAGGTGAGTGTAAACTGGTATTAAAGGGAATCGACATACAGACACATTACAATACAGAGTCTGACTGCTATTAGTCATTACAAGGTTATATCAAATGTGTGTTTAATTATGTTTGTCTTAAGCTGTATTTAGCAGGTGATGTTGACTTGAGGCAATAGAATTATGAATTCTGAATAATTAGTAATATTTAGAGGTGAAATACAAAATACATTTTTAATACATATTGTTGCATTGATGGTGTATATTTTATTTTTTATTAAAACATAACTTTTAATCTTTTCTTGTAAACATATACCTGTATCACATATTAAAAGTTTTAAAAAATAGCTAGGATTAATTTACAAACCAAAAATCGGCAATATCGCCATTTGTTCCAAAGTTTTCTAAACGTTTTCTACAGACAACTGTCTACGTGCGTTTTGATTCTGCATCTTAAGCACTTATGGTGGGAGAGCTCATATTATGGCTCGTGTATTGCATTTGTAAATCTCCTCAGATACCTTAAACACATATTATTTAATTAGTACTTTTAATAAACCATACTTTTCTTTCCTCTTATCTCTTACCTGAGTTTCGTCTCGTGCCTGCTATGGGACACTTCTACACAGGGATTGTTAAAGCAGAGGTGTACCTTCTACATTACATATATATATACATCTTCTTTCCATTTAGACTTAATTTATTAGATCAGATAGTTAGCTGACGCTCTTAGCCAATGAATTCCATCCAAAGATCAATGCCATTGATATCACTAATGTGGAAGCCGAACTTTTGCTTTACATACCTGCGTGAAGACGTACCAAACTGCAGATTCCAGGTGACCTAATTAATTGTGATATTATTGGAAAACAGTTTCTCTTAACATTGGGATAGAGCCATGAGACTCTTTGTACCATGAGCGCTACAGTACACTTTAGAGGGTTTGGTGATTAGAGAACCTCTGAAAATGAAGCAAAATGTTAATTTGTGAAATTTTTTAAATCTATAGGCAATATGTTAAATGACTCTGTAACCATATCATGTATTCATTTATTATCAATCTTTTTTTAAATGATTTGGTTTATCATCATTTAAGCAAATGTAGAAAATCAAAGTCAAAGCAGCACAAGAAGAGGTAGATTTTGCAAAATACAAATGTACCTGATGATTTTAAATAATACCCCTCCATTATGATGTAACATAACATTATTTGTAGTATTTAACTAAAATTACCATTTTTTTCTTATAAGAGATCATGTGGGTTTATTTACTAAACACCAAACTGATGTGATTTGAAATAGGAATTCCAAAATGTAGGCAAAACTATTAGACATGTAAAAATTCTCCAACTCAGCTCTTGTCACAGCTTGATTTTGTACTTTAGAATTCTGATTCTAGCTCATTACTAAATCATATTTAAAGAATAAGCTAATAGAATTTTCCAAATGAAAGTTGTTTTTTACTAGACACAAAATGTATTTTATTTAAAAAGAAATGCATGCACTTAATAGAATTTTTTTTTCTGATTGTATTCTGCTATCTTTCAGTTCCAGGTTTGGCTCAGAATATCACAGTAAATAATAAGAATACTACTAATTCACTTAGTGTGAACTGGACAATACCAGCAGGGAAAGTGGATTATTTCATAGTCATTCTGAGTGGAGACGTCAATAGAACATTCACAACTAATTCTACACAAGTGGATTTCACAGAATTACTGCCAGGCAGAAACTACTCCATCACTATACAGACAGTTAGTAGTAACTGCAGCCAGTCAGCAGCTCTAGTGATAGAGGCAACATGTGAGTATGATGGGATCATTGGGACAGAGCTATATCTTTATGTGGAAATCAAACAAACTGAATTCTAGTATACGTTTTAGGTTTTGTTATATTCAGATATCATGGGATAATTTGGCTTGAACTATATCGTTGTCAAGGTTATTAACTAAAGTAAAATTTCAAGGTGATTTTCAAATGTATCATCAAAATAGCTGAACTTAAAAAATTGATCTAACTCAGCTATGCATCCAGTTCATCTACTTCGGCCATGAATTTGAAAATAAATTTGAATTCTCTCTTTAGTGAATAACCCTGTTAAATTCTGTAAATCCTACAATTTGAGTAACATTGGACTTTTTAGGAGTGTGACGAGACCAATCTCGCCACATTGCATTGGAGAAGCCTGGTTGCTCGCCTGCTGCCTTTGGACTATGGCCCCCTTTTAAAAGACTTTATTTTTGCCTGCAGAAAAGCTGTATTCGTGCTTTTCTGCCTGGGGTTCAGTAGATTTGTTTGAATGTGTTATACCCCAGATAGGAATCCCATGGAGCCCATTTGTATGAAACTGACTGTAAAGACTTTGGCTCCATGGCGATTAAACTGTATTCGTGTGGTCTGAGCGCCATTCACTTAATAATGTGCGCTCAGACCTGAGCTATCTGGGGATATGTGAAATGTCTGTGTTTTATGTATAAAATGTGACTTTATGTATTTTAAAGTGTTTTGTGTCTTTTGCAACCATGTGCTTAATGGAGTCTTGTGTCTGTCCTGGGAGATAATTGAATTACTTATCTCCAGGATAGAAGACTCTGAAACTGGTTTGGGCCAGAAAGCCATGCTTCATTTAGTCACAAAGGACTTTTTACTAACTTTTGAACCCCTTGTCTGATTTGTGCCATTTTTGAATATGTTGTTCCCCTGAATGGATTGATTGAGAATATGTAATTTTATGTGAATGTGATGTATGGTTTTGGAGTTATGAAAGTTGGGTAGAAAGTATGTTTTAACTGTTTGTATAATTGAGTTTCCTCTCAGGATAAGGGGAGGGAATATGTGGGATGTAACTGTGATATGATTGGTTGTTTTATCCCTCCCTGTGGGTGGTCCTGTATTTGAAACACTGTAATAAAACCAGGCTGGGTGTGCCAGCACCTCAGACCACTGCTTGACCCTCAACACGGAGCCTTGTCTCGTTCTTGGGGGGATTCACTGTATGCTGTTAGAGACTGATTGCCAGGAGTGTAAGCTGTTCGTCTGCTTTTCCTGTTCGTCTGCTAGCAGCTATTTGGGAGGTTCCAGTTCGGGAGTTGGAGTGCTATTTTGTATCCAGTTCGTGAGTTTTGGTGTTCTGCAGTAGCTGTGCCTGGATCTCTGGAAAGGGGGCCGATCGCCTAAACGGTTTTTACCCCTTGTGTGCAAAACGGTCCGTTACAAGGAGAACTTGTGTTCATGTAGCATTGGATTCTTTCAGGATAATTGAATATAGAGTTAAATACATTATTTATACATATGTAATTAATTAATTAATTAATTGACTTTCTTATTTTTCTATTTCTTCATAGATCCGGCCTCTCCAGGTTCCTTAAACTTTACAAATATCGGAACAAACACCATTTCGTTGTCCCTGGGAGAACCAGTAAATATGACCAATGTGACAAAGACTTTCAAGATAACTTACAGCAATTCTTTATCCTCTTGGACTGTGTCAGTAAACACATTAAATGCCACACTTCAGAACCTCACATCTGGGACTAATTACACAATTACTGTAGTAACAGTTGTTGCTCGGCAGTATCAGAGTTCTCCGGTGACCAGTTCCATCTACACAAGTATGTTTACAGCATTCTGAATGTTCTGCAATAGAACGTGTCACAACTATGATATAAATATGTGTATATTTTGTAGTACACCAAGAGGCACATATTTGCTGGATTTTTTTTGCACATTAAATGAGAAGATGGGACCAACAGAGGGAAAATATGAAGAGCAGAAAAAATATTAATTTAACTAGTATATATTAATTAAATATATAATATATAAATATGGATTTATTTTTATTGCTGCTTTTTCCCCCTCTATTGGTCACTTCTCACTTAATCTGTCAATAAAATCAATATTTAGTTATCATCCCCCACCATCAATAAATTAAAAGTCTAGTCCATAGCCATTTTGCTTGTTTCATGATTCGACCATATGGTGCTTCGGAGTTGCGTAATTCTGATCACTCGCCGATTTCCCAAAATATAGACGAATGGCAAATTAATTTGAAACTGGAAGCACAAGTCTACTATTTAGGAGTAACGTATCCATTTTTTTTCAAGTTAACATAAATAAAGAAATAAAATGGATCGTGTTTTATTTTCTAACTCTAGAACCGATGCCGGTGAAACAGCTCAGAAATAATGGAACGACTACTGTATCTGTTTTCCTGATTTGGGGTCAACCTGATGAGTATATAAGTGATTACACCTACAGAGTACAAACAGCCAGCCCTTTATCTGTAGTGATAGATCAAAGAATGGCATCAAATCAACTCAATGTAACTAATCTGACACCCGGAGTAACATATACATTCACTGTATTTACAAGAGCGGCTGATAATGTCACTGAAAGTCAAGCTGTCTCATATACAACTTGCACAGGTGAGTGTAAACTGGTATTAAAGGGAATCGACATACAGACACATTACAATACAGAGTCTGACTGCTATTAGTCATTACAAGGTTATTTCAAATGTGTGTTTAATTATGTTTGTCTTAAGCTGTATTTAGCAGGTGATGTTGACTTGAGGCAATAGAATTATGAATTCTGAATAATTAGTAATATTTAGAGGTGAAATACAAAATACATTTTTAATACATATTGTTGCATTGATGGTGTATATTTTATTTTTTATTAAAACGTAACTTTTAATCTTTTCTTGTAAACATATACCTGTATCACATATTAAAAGTTTTAAAAAATAGCTAGGATTAATTTACAAACCAAAAATCGGCAATATCGCCATTTGTTCCAAAGTTTTCTAAACGTTTTCTACAGACAACTGTCTACGTGCATTTTGATTCTGCATCTTAAGCACTTATGGTGGGAGAGCTCATATTACGGCTCGTGTATTGTATTTGTAAATCTCCTCAGATACCTTAAACACATATTATTTAATTAGTACTTTTAATAAACCATACTTTTCTTTCCTCTTATCTCTTACCTGAGTTTCCCCTGGTGCCTTCTATTGGACTCTTCTACACAGGGATTGTTAAAGCAGAGGTGAACCTTCTACTTTACATATATATAAACATCTTCTTTCCATTTAGACTTAATTTATTAGATCAGATAGTTAGCTGACGCTCTTAGCCAATGAATTCCATCCAAAGATCAATGCCATTGATATCACTAATGTGGAAGCCGAACTTTTGCTTTACATACCTGCGTGAAGACGTACCAAACTGCAGATTCCAGGTGACCTAATTAATTGTGATATTATTGGAAAACAGTTTCTCTTAACATTGGGATAGAGCCATGAGACTCTTTGTACCATGAGCGCTACAGTACACTTTAGAGGGTTTGGTGATTAGAGAACCTCTGAAAATGAAGCAAAATGTTAATTTGTGAAATTTTTTAAATCTATAGGCAATATGTTAAATGACTCTGTAACCATATCATGTATTCATTTATTATCAATCTTTTTTTAAATGATTTGGTTTATCATCATTTAAGCAAATGTAGAAAATCAAAGTCAAAGCAGCACAAGAAGAGGTAGATTTTGCAAAATACAAATGTACCTGATGATTTTAAATAATACCCCTCCATTATGATGTAACATAACATTATTTGTAGTATTTAACTAAAATTACTGTTTTTTCTTATAAGAGATCATGTGGGTTTATTTACTAAACACCAAACTGATGTGATTTGAAATAGGAATTCCAAAATTTAGGCAAAACTATTAGACATGTAAAAATTCTCCAACTCAGCTCTTGTCACAGCTTGATTCTGTACTTTAGAATTCTGATTCTAGCTCATTACTAAATCATATTTAAAGAATAAGCTAATAGAATTTTCCAAATGAAAGTTGTTTTTTACTAGACACAAAATGTATTTTATTTAAAAAGAAATGCATGCACTTAATAGAAATGTTTTTTCTGATTGAATTCTGCTATCTTTCAGTTCCAGGTTTGGCTCAGAATATCACAGTAAATAATAAGAATACTACTAATTCACTCAGTGTGAACTGGACAATACCAGCAGGGAAAGTGGATTATTTCACAGTCATTCTGAGTGGAGACGTCAATAGAACATTCACAACTAATTCTACACAAGTGGATTTCACAGAATTACTGCCAGGCAGAAACTACTCCATCACTATACAGACAGTTAGTAGTAACTGCAGCCAGTCAGCAGCTCTAGTGATAGAGGCAACATGTGAGTATGATGGGATCATTGGGACAGAGCTATATCTTTATGTGGAAATCAAACAAACTGAATTCTAGTATACGTTTTAGGTTTTGTTATATTCAGATATCATGGGATAATTTGGCTTGAACTATATCGTTGTCAAGGTTATTAACTAAAGTAAAATTTCAAGGTGATTTTCAAATGTATCATCAAAATAGCTGAACTTAAAAAATTGATCTAACTCAGCTATGCATCCAGTTCATCTACTTCGGCCATGAATTTGAAAATAAATTTGAATTCTCTCTTTAGTGAATAACCCTGTTAAATTCTGTAAATCCTACAATTTGAGTAACATTGGACTTTTTAGGAGAACTTGTGTTCATGTAGCATTGGATTCTTTCAGGATAATTGAATATAGAGTTAAATACATTATTTATACATATGTAATTAATTAATTAATTAATTGACTTTCTTATTTTTCTATTTCTTCATAGATCCGGCCTCTCCAGGTTCCTTAAACTTTACAAATATCGGAACAAACACCATTTCGTTGTCCCTGGGAGAACCAGTAAATATGGCCAATGTGACAAAGACTTTCAAGATAACTTACAGCAATTCTTTATCCTCTTGGACTGTGTCAGTAAACACATTAAATGCCACACTTCAGAACCTCACATCTGGGACTAATTACACAATTACTGTAGTAACAGTTGGTGCTCGGCAGTATCAGAGTTCTCCTGTGACCAGTTCCATCTACACAAGTATGTTTACAGCTTTCTGTATGTTCTGCAATAGAACGTGTCACAACTATGATATAAATATGTGTATATTTTGTAGTACACTAAGAGGCACATATTTGCTGGATTTTTTTTGCACATTAAATGAGAAGATGGGACCAACAGAGGGAAAATATGAAGAGCAGAAAAAATATTAATTTAACTAGTATATATTAATTAAATATATAATATATAAATATGGATTTATTTTTATTGCTGCTTTTTCCCCCTCTATTGGTCACTTCTCACTTAATCTGTCAATAAAATCAATAGGCAATATGTTAAATGACTCTGTAACCATATCATGTATTCATTTATTATCAATCTTTTTTTAAATGATTTGGTTTATCATCATTTAAGCAAATGTAGAAAATCAAAGTCAAAGCAGCACGAGAAGAGGTAGATTTTGCAAAATACAAAAGTACCTGATGATTTTAAATAATACCCCTCCATTATGATGTAACATAACATTATTTGTAGTATTTAACTAAAATTACCATTTTTTCTTATAAGAGATCATGTGGGTTTATTTACTAAACACCAAACTGATGTGATTTGAAATAGGAATTCCAAAATGTAGGCAAAACTATTAGACATGTAAAAATTCTCCAACTCAGCTCTTGTCACAGCTTGATTTTGTACTTTAGAATTCTGATTCTAGCTCATTACTAAATCATATTTAAAGAATAAGCTAATAGAATTTTCCAAATGAAAGTTGTTTTTTACTAGACACAAAATGTATTTTATTTAAAAAGAAATGCATGCACTTAATAGAAATTTTTTTTTCTGATTGTATTCTGCTATCTTTCAGTTCCAGGTTTGGCTCAGAATATCACAGTAAATAATAAGAATACTACTAATTCACTTAGTGTGAACTGGACAATACCAGCAGGGAAAGTGGATTATTTCATAGTCATTCTGAGTGGAGACGTCAATAGAACATTCACAACTAATTCTACACAAGTGGATTTCACAGAATTACTGCCAGGCAGAAACTACTCCATCACTATACAGACAGTTAGTAGTAACTGCAGCCAGTCAGCAGCTCTAGTGATAGAGGCAACATGTGAGTATGATGGGATCATTGGGACAGAGCTATATCTTTATGTGGAAATCAAACAAACTGAATTCTAGTATACGTTTTAGGTTTTGTTATATTCAGATATCATGGGATAATTTGGCTTGAACTATATCGTTGTCAAGGTTATTAACTAAAGTAAAATTTCAAGGTGATTTTCAAATGTATCATCAAAATAGCTGAACTTAAAAAATTGATCTAACTCAGCTATGCATCCAGTTCATCTACTTCGGCCATGAATTTGAAAATAAATTTGAATTCTCTCTTTAGTGAATAACCCTGTTAAATTCTGTAAATCCTACAATTTGAGTAACATTGGACTTTTTAGGAGTGTGACGAGACCAATCTCGCCACATTGCATTGGAGAAGCCTGGTTGCTCGCCTGCTGCCTTTGGACTATGGCCCCCTTTTAAAAGACTTTATTTTTGCCTGCAGAAAAGCTGTATTCGTGCTTTTCTGCCTGGGGTTCAGTAGATTTGTTTGAATGTGTTATACCCCAGATAGGAATCCCATGGAGCCCATTTGTATGAAACTGACTGTAAAGACTTTGGCTCCATGGCGATTAAACTGTATTCGTGTGGTCTGAGCGCCATTCACTTAATAATGTGCGCTCAGACCTGAGCTATCTGGGGATATGTGAAATGTCTGTGTTTTATGTATAAAATGTGACTTTATGTATTTTAAAGTGTTTTGTGTCTTTTTGCAACCATGTGCTTAATGGAGTCTTGTGTCTGTCCTGGGAGATAATTGAATTACTTATCTCCAGGATAGAAGACTCTGAAACTGGTTTGGGCCAGAAAGCCATGCTTCATTTAGTCACAAAGGACTTTTTACTAACTTTTGAACCCCTTGTCTGATTTGTGCCATTTTTGAATATGTTGTTCCCCTGAATGGATTGATTGAGAATATGTAATTTTATGTGAATGTGATGTATGGTTTTGGAGTTATGAAAGTTGGGTAGAAAGTATGTTTTAACTGTTTGTATAATTGAGTTTCCTCTCAGGATAAGGGGAGGGAATATGTGGGATGTAACTGTGATATGATTGGTTGTTTTATCCCTCCCTGTGGGTGGTCCTGTATTTGAAACACTGTAATAAAAACCAGGCTGGGTGTGCCAGCACCTCAGACCACTGCTTGACCCTCAACACGGAGCCTTGTCTCGTTCTTGGGGGGATTCACTGTATGCTGTTAGAGACTGATTGCCAGGAGTGTAAGCTGATTGTCTGCTTTTCCTGTTCGTCTGCTAGCAGCTATTTGGGAGGTTCCAGTTCTGGAGTTGGAGTGCTATTTTGTATCCAGTTCGTGAGTTTTGGTGTTCTGCAGTAGCTGTGCCTGGATCTCTGGAAAGGGGGCCGATCGCCTAAACGGTTTTTACCCCTTGTGTGCAAAACGGTCCGTTACAAGGAGAACTTGTGTTCATGTAGCATTGGATTCTTTCAGGATAATTGAATATAGAGTTAAATACATTATTTATACATATGTAATTAATTAATTAATTAATTGACTTTCTTATTTTTCTATTTCTTCATAGATCCGGCCTCTCCAGGTTCCTTAAACTTTACAAATATCGGAACAAACACCATTTCGTTGTCCCTGGGAGAACCAGTAAATATGACCAATGTGACAAAGACTTTCAAGATAACTTACAGCAATTCTTTATCCTCTTGGACTGTGTCAGTAAACACATTAAATGCCACACTTCAGAACCTCACATCTGGGACTAATTACACAATTACTGTAGTAACAGTTGTTGCTCGGCAGTATCAGAGTTCTCCGGTGACCAGTTCCATCTACACAAGTATGTTTACAGCATTCTGAATGTTCTGCAATAGAACGTGTCACAACTATGATATAAATATGTGTATATTTTGTAGTACACCAAGAGGCACATATTTGCTGGATTTTTTTTGCACATTAAATGAGAAGATGGGACCAACAGAGGGAAAATATGAAGAGCAGAAAAAATATTAATTTAACTAGTATATATTAATTAAATATATAATATATAAATATGGATTTATTTTTATTGCTGCTTTTTCCCCCTCTATTGGTCACTTCTCACTTAATCTGTCAATAAAATCAATATTTAGTTATCATCCCCCACCATCAATAAATTAAAAGTCTAGTCCATAGCCATTTTGCTTGTTTCATGATTCGACCATATGGTGCTTCGGAGTTGCGTAATTCTGATCACTCGCCGATTTCCCAAAATATAGACGAATGGCAAATTAATTTGAAACTGGAAGCACAAGTCTACTATTTAGGAGTAACGTATCCATTTTTTTTCAAGTTAACATAAATAAAGAAATAAAATGGATCGTGTTTTATTTTCTAACTCTAGAACCGATGCCGGTGAAACAGCTCAGAAATAATGGAACGACTACTGTATCTGTTTTCCTGATTTGGGGTCAACCTGATGAGTATATAAGTGATTACACCTACAGAGTACAAACAGCCAGCCCTTTATCTGTAGTGATAGATCAAAGAATGGCATCAAATCAACTCAATGTAACTAATCTGACACCCGGAGTAACATATACATTCACTGTATTTACAAGAGCGGCTGATAATGTCACTGAAAGTCAAGCTGTCTCATATACAACTTGCACAGGTGAGTGTAAACTGGTATTAAAGGGAATCGACATACAGACACATTACAATACAGAGTCTGACTGCTATTAGTCATTACAAGGTTATTTCAAATGTGTGTTTAATTATGTTTGTCTTAAGCTGTATTTAGCAGGTGATGTTGACTTGAGGCAATAGAATTATGAATTCTGAATAATTAGTAATATTTAGAGGTGAAATACAAAATACATTTTTAATACATATTGTTGCATTGATGGTGTATATTTTATTTTTTATTAAAACGTAACTTTTAATCTTTTCTTGTAAACATATACCTGTATCACATATTAAAAGTTTTAAAAAATAGCTAGGATTAATTTACAAACCAAAAATCGGCAATATCGCCATTTGTTCCAAAGTTTTCTAAACGTTTTCTACAGACAACTGTCTACGTGCATTTTGATTCTGCATCTTAAGCACTTATGGTGGGAGAGCTCATATTACGGCTCGTGTATTGTATTTGTAAATCTCCTCAGATACCTTAAACACATGTTATTTAATTAGTACTTTTAATAAACCATACTTTTCTTTCCTCTTATCTCTTACCTGAGTTTCCCCTGGTGCCTTCTATTGGACTCTTCTACACAGGGATTGTTAAAGCAGAGGTGAACCTTCTACTTTACATATATATAAACATCTTCTTTCCATTTAGACTTAATTTATTAGATCAGATAGTTAGCTGACGCTCTTAGCCAATGAATTCCATCCAAAGATCAATGCCATTGATATCACTAATGTGGAAGCCGAACTTTTGCTTTACATACCTGCGTGAAGACGTACCAAACTGCAGATTCCAGGTGACCTAATTAATTGTGATATTATTGGAAAACAGTTTCTCTTAACATTGGGATAGAGCCATGAGACTCTTTGTACCATGAGCGCTACAGTACACTTTAGAGGGTTTGGTGATTAGAGAACCTCTGAAAATGAAGCAAAATGTTAATTTGTGAAATTTTTTAAATCTATAGGCAATATGTTAAATGACTCTGTAACCATATCATGTATTCATTTATTATCAATCTTTTTTTAAATGATTTGGTTTATCATCATTTAAGCAAATGTAGAAAATCAAAGTCAAAGCAGCACAAGAAGAGGTAGATTTTGCAAAATACAAATGTACCTGATGATTTTAAATAATACCCCTCCATTATGATGTAACATAACATTATTTGTAGTATTTAACTAAAATTACTGTTTTTTCTTATAAGAGATCATGTGGGTTTATTTACTAAACACCAAACTGATGTGATTTGAAATAGGAATTCCAAAATTTAGGCAAAACTATTAGACATGTAAAAATTCTCCAACTCAGCTCTTGTCACAGCTTGATTCTGTACTTTAGAATTCTGATTCTAGCTCATTACTAAATCATATTTAAAGAATAAGCTAATAGAATTTTCCAAATGAAAGTTGTTTTTTACTAGACACAAAATGTATTTTATTTAAAAAGAAATGCATGCACTTAATAGAAATGTTTTTTCTGATTGAATTCTGCTATCTTTCAGTTCCAGGTTTGGCTCAGAATATCACAGTAAATAATAAGAATACTACTAATTCACTCAGTGTGAACTGGACAATACCAGCAGGGAAAGTGGATTATTTCACAGTCATTCTGAGTGGAGACGTCAATAGAACATTCACAACTAATTCTACACAAGTGGATTTCACAGAATTACTGCCAGGCAGAAACTACTCCATCACTATACAGACAGTTAGTAGTAACTGCAGCCAGTCAGCAGCTCTAGTGATAGAGGCAACATGTGAGTATGATGGGATCATTGGGACAGAGCTATATCTTTATGTGGAAATCAAACAAACTGAATTCTAGTATACGTTTTAGGTTTTGTTATATTCAGATATCATGGGATAATTTGGCTTGAACTATATTGTTGTCAAGGTTATTAACTAAAGTAAAATTTCAAGGTGATTTTCAAATGTATCATCAAAATAGCTGAACTTAAAAAATTGATCTAACTCAGCTATGCATCCAGTTCATCTACTTCGGCCATGAATTTGAAAATAAATTTGAATTCTCTCTTTAGTGAATAACCCTGTTAAATTCTGTAAATCCTACAATTTGAGTAACATTGGACTTTTTAGGAGAACTTGTGTTCATGTAGCATTGGATTCTTTCAGGATAATTGAATATAGAGTTAAATACATTATTTATACATATGTAATTAATTAATTAATTAATTGACTTTCTTATTTTTCTATTTCTTCATAGACCCGGCCTCTCCAGGTTCCTTAAACTTTACAAATATCGGAACAAACACCATTTCGTTGTCCCTGGGAGAACCAGTAAATATGACCAATGTGACAAAGACTTTCAAGATAACTTACAGCAATTCTTTATCCTCTTGGACTGTGTCAGTAAACACATTAAATGCCACACTTCAGAACCTCACATCTGGGACTAATTACACAATTACTGTAGTAACAGTTGGTGCTCGGCAGTATCAGAGTTCTCCTGTGACCAGTTCCATCTACACAAGTATGTTTACAGCATTCTGTATGTTCTGCAATAGAACGTGTCACAACTATGATATAAATATGTGTATATTTTGTAGTACACTAAGAGGCACATATTTGCTGGATTTTTTTTGCACATTAAATGAGAAGATGGGACCAACAGAGGGAAAATATGAAGAGCAGAAAAAATATTAATTTAACTAGTATATATTAATTAAATATATAATATATAAATATGGATTTATTTTTATTGCTGCTTTTTCCCCCTCTATTGGTCACTTCTCACTTAATCTGTCAATAAAATCAATAGGCAATATGTTAAATGACTCTGTAACCATATCATGTATTCATTTATTATCAATCTTTTTTTAAATGATTTGGTTTATCATCATTTAAGCAAATGTAGAAAATCAAAGTCAAAGCAGCACGAGAAGAGGTAGATTTTGCAAAATACAAAAGTACCTGATGATTTTAAATAATACCCCTCCATTATGATGTAACATAACATTATTTGTAGTATTTAACTAAAATTACCATTTTTTCTTATAAGAGATCATGTGGGTTTATTTACTAAACACCAAACTGATGTGATTTGAAATAGGAATTCCAAAATGTAGGCAAAACTATTAGACATGTAAAAATTCTCCAACTCAGCTCTTGTCACAGCTTGATTTTGTACTTTAGAATTCTGATTCTAGCTCATTACTAAATCATATTTAAAGAATAAGCTAATAGAATTTTCCAAATGAAAGTTGTTTTTTACTAGACACAAAATGTATTTTATTTAAAAAGAAATGCATGCACTTAATAGAAATTTTTTTTTCTGATTGTATTCTGCTATCTTTCAGTTCCAGGTTTGGCTCAGAATATCACAGTAAATAATAAGAATACTACTAATTCACTTAGTGTGAACTGGACAATACCAGCAGGGAAAGTGGATAATTACACAGTCATTCTGAGTGGAGACGTCAATAGAACATTCACAACTAATTCTACACAAGTGGATTTCACAGAATTACTGCCAGGCAGAAACTACTCCATCACTATACAGACAGTTAGTAGTAACTGCAGCCAGTCAGCAGCTCTAGTGATAGAGGCAACATGTGAGTATGATGGGATCATTGGGACAGAGCTATATCTTTATGTGGAAATCAAACAAACTGAATTCTAGTATACGTTTTAGGTTTTGTTATATTCAGATATCATGGGATAATTTGGCTTGAACTATATCGTTGTCAAGGTTATTAACTAAAGTAAAATTTCAATGTGATTTTCAAATGTATCATCAAAATAGCTGAACTTAAAAAATTGATCTAACTCAGCTATGCATCCAGTTCATCTACTTCGGCCATGAATTTGAAAATAAATTTGAATTCTCTCTTTAGTGAATAACCCTGTTAAATTCTGTAAATCCTACAATTTGAGTAACATTGGACTTTTTAGGAGAACTTGTGTTCATGTAGCATTGGATTCTTTCAGAATAATTGAATATAGAGTTAAATACATTATTTATACATATGTAATTAATTAATTAATTAATTGACTTTCTTATTTTTCTATTTCTTCATAGATCCGGCCTCTCCAGGTTCCTTAAACTTTACAAATATCGGAACAAACACCATTTCGTTGTCCCTGGGAGAACCAGTAAATATGGCCAATGTGACAAAGACTTTCAAAATAACTTACAGCAATTCTTTATCCTCTTGGACTGTGTCAGTAAACACATTAAATGCCACACTTCAGAACCTCACATCTGGGACTAATTACACAATTACTGTAGTAACAGTTGGTGCTCGGCAGTATCAGAGTTCTCCTGTGACCAGTTCCATCTACACAAGTAGGTTTACAGCTTTCTGTATGTTCTGCAATAGAACGTGTCACAACTATGATATAAATATGTGTATATTTTGTAGTACACTAAGAGGCACATATTTGCTGGATTTTTTTTGCACATTAAATGAGAAGATGGGACCAACAGAGGGAAAATATGAAGAGCAGAAAAAATATTAATTTAACTAGTATATATTAATTAAATATATAATATATAAATATGGATTTATTTTTATTGCTGCTTTTTTCCCCTCTATTGGTCACTTCTCACTTAATCTGTCAATAAAATCAATATTTAGTTATCATCCCCCACCATCAATTAATTAAAAGTCTAGTCCATAGCCGTTTTGCTTGTTTCATGATTCGACCATATGGTGCTTCGGAGTTGCGTAATTCTGATCACTCGCCGATTTCCCAAAATATAGACGAATGGCAAATTAATTTGAAACTGGAAGCACAAGTCTACTATTTAGGAGTAACGTATCCATTTTTTTTCAAGTTAATATAAATAAAGAAATAAAATGGATCGTGTTTTATTTTCTAACTCTAGAACCGATGCCGGTGAAACAGCTCAGAAATAATGGAACGACTACTGTATCTGTTTTCCTGATTTGGGGTCAACCTGATGAGTATATAAGTGATTACACCTACAGAGTACAAACAGCCAGCCCTTTATCTGTAGTGATAGATCAAAGAATGGCATCAAATCAACTCAATGTAACTAATCTGACACCCGGAGTAACATATACATTCACTGTATTTACAAGAGCGGCTGATAATGTCACTGAAAGTCAAGCTGTCTCATATACAACTTGCACAGGTGAGTGTAAACTGGTATTAAAGGGAATCGACATACAGACACATTACAATACAGAGTCTGACTGCTATTAGTCATTACAAGGTTATATCAAATGTGTGTTTAATTATGTTTGTCTTAAGCTGTATTTAGCAGGTGATGTTGACTTGAGGCAATAGAATTATGAATTCTGAATAATTAGTAATATTTAGAGACAAAATACATTTTGAATACATATTGTTGCATTGATGGTGTATATTTTATTTTTATTAAAACTTAACTTTTAATCTTTTCTTGTAAACATATACCTGTATCACATATTAAAAGTTTTAAAAAAATAGCTAGGATTAATTTACAAACCAAAAATCGGCAATATAGCCATTTGTTCCAAAGTTTTCTAAACGTTTTCTACAGACAACTGTCTACGTGCGTTTTGATTCTGCATCTTAAGCACTTATGGTGGGAGAGCTCATATTACGGCTCGTGTATTGTATTTGTAAATCTCCTCAGATACCTTAAACACATATTATTTAATTAGTACTTTTAATAAACCATACTTTTCTTTCCTCTTATCTCTTACCTGAGTTTCCCCTGGTGCCTTCTATTGGACTCTTCTACACAGGGATTGTTAAAGCAGAGGTGTACCTTCTACTTTACATATATATAAACATCTTCTTTCCATTTAGACTTAATTTATTAGATCAGATAGTTAGCTGACGCTCTTAGCCAATGAATTCCATCCAAAGATCAATGCCATTGATATCACTAATGTGGAAGCCGAACTTTTGCTTTACATACCTGCGTGAAGACGTACCAAACTGCAGATTCCAGGTGACCTAATTAATTGTGATATTATTGGAAAACAGTTTCTCTTAACATTGGGATAGAGCCATGAGACTCTTTGTACCATGAGCGCTACAGTACACTTTAGAGGGTTTGGTGATTAGAGAACCTCTGAAAATGAAGCAAAATGTTAATTTGTGAAATTTTTTAAATCTATAGGCAATATGTTAAATGACTCTGTAACCATATCATGTATTCATTTATTATCAATCTTTTTTTAAATGATTTGGTTTATCATCATTTAAGCAAATGTAGAAAATCAAAGTCAAAGCAGCACAAGAAGAGGTAGATTTTGCAAAATACAAATGTACCTGATGATTTTAAATAATACCCCTCCATTATGATGTAACATAACATTATTTGTAGTATTTAACTAAAATTACCATTTTTTTCTTATAAGAGATCATGTGGGTTTATTTACTAAACACCAAACTGATGTGATTTGAAATAGGAATTCCAAAATGTAGGCAAAACTATTAGACATGTAAAAATTCTCCAACTCAGCTCTTGTCACAGCTTGATTTTGTACTTTAGAATTCTGATTCTAGCTCATTACTAAATCATATTTAAAGAATAAGCTAATAGAATTTTCCAAATGAAAGTTGTTTTTTACTAGACACAAAATGTATTTTATTTAAAAAGAAATGCATGCACTTAATAGAAATTTTTTTTTCTGATTGTATTCTGCTATCTTTCAGTTCCAGGTTTGGCTCAGAATATCACAGTAAATAATAAGAATACTACTAATTCACTTAGTGTGAACTGGACAATACCAGCAGGGAAAGTGGATAATTACACAGTCATTCTGAGTGGAGACGTCAATAGAACATTCACAACTAATTCTACACAAGTGGATTTCACAGAATTACTGCCAGGCAGAAACTACTCCATCACTATACAGACAGTTAGTAGTAACTGCAGCCAGTCAGCAGCTCTAGTGATAGAGGCAACATGTGAGTATGATGGGATCATTGGGACAGAGCTATATCTTTATGTGGAAATCAAACAAACTGAATTCTAGTATACGTTTTAGGTTTTGTTATATTCAGATATCATGGGATAATTTGGCTTGAACTATATCGTTGTCAAGGTTATTAACTAAAGTAAAATTTCAAGGTGATTTTCAAATGTATCATCAAAATAGCTGAACTTAAAAAATTGATCTAACTCAGCTATGTATCCAGTTCATCTACTTCGGCCATGAATTTGAAAATAAATTTGAATTCTCTCTTTAGTGAATAACCCTGTTAAATTCTGTAAATCCTACAATTTGAGTAACATTGGACTTTTTAGTAGAACTTGTGTTCATGTAGCATTGGATTCTTTCAGGATAATTGAATATAGAGTTAAATACATTATTTATACATATGTAATTAATTAAATAATTAATTAATTGACTTTCTTATTTTTCTATTTCTTCATAGATCCGGCCTCTCCAGGTTCCTTAAACTTTACAAATATCGGAACAAACACCATTTCGTTGTCCCTGGGAGAACCAGTAAATATGACCAATGTGACAAAGACTTTCAAGATAACTTACAGCAATTCTTTATCCTCTTGGACTGTGTCAGTAAACACATTAAATGCCACACTTCAGAACCTCACATCTGGGACTAATTACACAATTACTGTAGTAACAGTTGGTGCTCGGCAGTATCAGAGTTCTCCGGTGACCAGTTCCATCTACACAAGTATGTTTACAGCATTCTGTATGTTCTGCAATAGAACGTTTCACAACTATGATATAAATATGTGTATATTTTGTAGTACACTAAGAGGCACATATTTGCTGGATTTTTTTTGCACATTAAATGAGAAGATGGGACCAACAGAGGGAAAATATGAAGAGCAGAAAAAATATTAATTTAACTAGTATATATTAATTAAATATATAATATATAAATATGGATTTATTTTTATTGCTGCTTTTTTCCCCTCTATTGGTCACTTCTCACTTAATCTGTCAATAAAATAAATATTTAGTTACCATCCCCCACCATCAATTAATTAAAAGTCTAGTCCATTGCCGTTTTGTTTGTTTCATGATTCGACCATATGGTGCTTCGGAGTTGCGTAATTCTGATCACTCGCCGATTTCCCAAAATATAGACGAATGGCAAATTAATTTGAAACTGGAAGCACAAGTCTACTATTTAGGAGTAATGTATCCATTTTTTTTCAAGTTAACATAAATAAAGAAATAAAATGGATCGTGTTTTATTTTCTAACTCTAGAACCGATGCCGGTGAAACAGCTCAGAAATAATGGAACGACTACTGTATCTGTTTTCCTGATTTGGGGTCAACCTGATGAGTATAGAAGTGATTACACCTACAGAGTACAAACAGCCAGCCCTTTATCTGTAGTGATAGATCAAAGAACGGCATCAAATCAACTCAATGTAACTAATCTGACACCTGGAGTAACATATACATTCACTGTATTTACAAGAGCGGCTGATAATGTCACTGAAAGTCAAGCTGTCTCATATACAACCTGCACAGGTGAGTGTAAACTGGTATTAAAGGGAATCGACATACAGACACATTACAATACAGAGTCTGACTGCTATTAGTCATTACAAGGTTATATCAAATGTGTGTTTAATTATGTTTGTCTTAAGCTGTATTTAGCAGGTGATGTTGACTTGAGGCAATAGAATTATGAATTCTGAATAATTAGTAATATTTAGAGGTGAAATACAAAATACATTTTTAATACATATTGTTGCATTGATGGTGTATATTTTATTTTTTATTAAAACGTAACTTTTAATCTTTTCTTGTAAACATATACCTGTATCACATATTAAAAGTTTTAAAAAATAGCTAGGATTAATTTACAAACCAAAAATCGGCAATATCGCCATTTGTTCCAAAGTTTTCTAAACGTTTTCTACAGACAACTGTCTACGTGCATTTTGATTCTGCATCTTAAGCACTTATGGTGGGAGAGCTCATATTACGGCTCGTGTATTGTATTTGTAAATCTCCTCAGATACCTTAAACACATATTATTTAATTAGTACTTTTAATATACATACTTTTCTTTCCTCTTATCTCTTACCTGAGTTTCCCCTGGTGCCTTCTATTGGACTCTTCTACACAGGGATTGTTAAAGCAGAGGTGTACCTTCTACTTTACATATATATAAACATCTTCTTTCCATTTAGACTTAATTTATTAGATCAGATAGTTAGCTGACGCTCTTAGCCAATGAATTCCATCCAAAGATCAATGCCATTGATATCACTAATGTGGAAGCCGAACTTTTGCTTTACATACCTGCGTGAAGACGTACCAAACTGCAGATTCCAGGTGACCTAATTAATTGTGATATTATTGGAAAACAGTTTCTCTTAACATTGGGATAGAGCCATGAGACTCTTTGTACCATGAGCGCTACAGTACACTTTAGAGGGTTTGGTGATTAGAGAACCTCTGAAAATGAAGCAAAATGTTAATTTGTGAAATTTTTTAAATCTATAGGCAATATGTTAAATGACTCTGTAACCATATCATGTATTCATTTATTATCAATCTTTTTTTAAATGATTTGGTTTATCATCATTTAAGCAAATGTAGAAAATCAAAGTCAAAGCAGCACAAGAAGAGGTAGATTTTGCAAAATACAAATGTACCTGATGATTTTAAATAATACCCCTCCATTATGATGTAACATAACATTATTTGTAGTATTTAACTAAAATTACCATTTTTTTCTTATAAGAGATCATGTGGGTTTATTTACTAAACACCAAACTGATGTGATTTGAAATAGGAATTCCAAAATGTAGGCAAAACTATTAGACATGTAAAAATTCTCCAACTCAGCTCTTGTCACAGCTTGATTTTGTACTTTAGAATTCTGATTCTAGCTCATTACTAAATCATATTTAAAGAATAAGCTAATAGAATTTTCCAAATGAAAGTTGTTTTTTACTAGACACAAAATGTATTTTATTTAAAAAGAAATGCATGCACTTAATAGAATTTTTTTTTCTGATTGTATTCTGCTATCTTTCAGTTCCAGGTTTGGCTCAGAATATCACAGTAAATAATAAGAATACTACTAATTCACTTAGTGTGAACTGGACAATACCAGCAGGGAAAGTGGATTATTTCATAGTCATTCTGAGTGGAGACGTCAATAGAACATTCACAACTAATTCTACACAAGTGGATTTCACAGAATTACTGCCAGGCAGAAACTACTCCATCACTATACAGACAGTTAGTAGTAACTGCAGCCAGTCAGCAGCTCTAGTGATAGAGGCAACATGTGAGTATGATGGGATCATTGGGACAGAGCTATATCTTTATGTGGAAATCAAACAAACTGAATTCTAGTATACGTTTTAGGTTTTGTTATATTCAGATATCATGGGATAATTTGGCTTGAACTATATTGTTGTCAAGGTTATTAACTAAAGTAAAATTTCAAGGTGATTTTCAAATGTATCATCAAAATAGCTGAACTTAAAAAATTGATCTAACTCAGCTATGCATCCAGTTCATCTACTTCGGCCATGAATTTGAAAATAAATTTGAATTCTCTCTTTAGTGAATAACCCTGTTAAATTCTGTAAATCCTACAATTTGAGTAACATTGGACTTTTTAGTAGAACTTGTGTTCATGTAGCATTGGATTCTTTCAGGATAATTGAATATAGAGTTAAATACATTATTTATACATATGTAATTAATTAATTAATTAATTGACTTTCTTATTTTTCTATTTCTTCATAGACCCGGCCTCTCCAGGTTCCTTAAACTTTACAAATATCGGAACAAACACCATTTCGTTGTCCCTGGGAGAACCAGTAAATATGACCAATGTGACAAAGACTTTCAAGATAACTTACAGCAATTCTTTATCCTCTTGGACTGTGTCAGTAAACACATTAAATGCCACACTTCAGAACCTCACATCTGGGACTAATTACACAATTACTGTAGTAACAGTTGGTGCTCGGCAGTATCAGAGTTCTCCGGTGACCAGTTCCATCTACACAAGTATGTTTACAGCATTCTGTATGTTCTGCAATAGAACGTTTCACAACTATGATATAAATATGTGTATATTTTGTAGTACACTAAGAGGCACATATTTGCTGGATTTTTTTTGCACATTAAATGAGAAGATGGGACCAACAGAGGGAAAATATGAAGAGCAGAAAAAATATTAATTTAACTAGTATATATTAATTAAATATATAATATATAAATATGGATTTATTTTTATTGCTGCTTTTTTCCCCTCTATTGGTCACTTCTCACTTAATCTGTCAATAAAATAAATATTTAGTTACCATCCCCCACCATCAATTAATTAAAAGTCTAGTCCATTGCCGTTTTGTTTGTTTCATGATTCGACCATATGGTGCTTCGGAGTTGCGTAATTCTGATCACTCGCCGATTTCCCAAAATATAGACGAATGGCAAATTAATTTGAAACTGGAAGCACAAGTCTACTATTTAGGAGTAATGTATCCATTTTTTTTCAAGTTAACATAAATAAAGAAATAAAATGGATCGTGTTTTATTTTCTAACTCTAGAACCGATGCCGGTGAAACAGCTCAGAAATAATGGAACGACTACTGTATCTGTTTTCCTGATTTGGGGTCAACCTGATGAGTATAGAAGTGATTACACCTACAGAGTACAAACAGCCAGCCCTTTATCTGTAGTGATAGATCAAAGAACGGCATCAAATCAACTCAATGTAACTAATCTGACACCCGGTGTAACATATACATTCACTGTATTTACAAGAGCGGCTGATAATGTCACTGAAAGTCAAGCTGTCTCATATACAACCTGCACAGGTGAGTGTAAACTGGTATTAAAGGGAATCGACATACAGACACATTACAATACAGAGTCTGAATGCTATTAGTCATTACAAGGTTATATCAAATGTGTGTTTAATTATGTTTGTCTTAAGCTGTATTTAGCAGGTGATGTTGACTTGAGGCAATAGAATTATGAATTCTGAATAATTAGTAATATTTAGAGGTGAAATACAAAATACATTTTTAATACATATTGTTGCATTGATGGTGTATATTTTATTTTTTATTAAAACTTAACTTTTAATCTTTTCTTGTAAACATATACCTGTATCACATATTAAAAGTTTTAAAAAATAGCTAGGATTAATTTACAAACCAAAAATCGGCAATATCGCCATTTGTTCCAAAGTTTTCTAAACGTTTTCTACAGACAACTGTCTACGTGCATTTTGATTCTGCATCTTAAGCACTTATGGTGGGAGAGCTCATATTACGGCTCGTGTATTGTATTTGTAAATCTCCTCAGATACCTTAAACACATATTATTTAATTAGTACTTTTAATAAACCATACTTTTCTTTCCTCTTATCTCTTACCTGAGTTTCCCCTGGTGCCTTCTATTGGACTCTTCTACACAGGGATTGTTAAAGCAGAGGTGTACCTTCTACTTTACATATATATAAACATCTTCTTTCCATTTAGACTTAATTTATTAGATCAGATAGTTAGCTGACGCTCTTAGCCAATGAATTCCATCCAAAGATCAATGCCATTGATATCACTAATGTGGAAGCCGAACTTTTGCTTTACATACCTGCGTGAAGACGTACCAAACTGCAGATTCCAGGTGACCTAATTAATTGTGATATTATTGGAAAACAGTTTCTCTTAACATTGGGATAGAGCCATGAGACTCTTTGTACCATGAGCGCTACAGTACACTTTAGAGGGTTTGGTGATTAGAGAACCTCTGAAAATGAAGCAAAATGTTAATTTGTGAAATTTTTTAAATCTATAGGCAATATGTTAAATGACTCTGTAACCATATCATGTATTCATTTATTATCAATCTTTTTTTAAATGATTTGGTTTATCATCATTTAAGCAAATGTAGAAAATCAAAGTCAAAGCAGCACAAGAAGAGGTAGATTTTGCAAAATACAAATGTACCTGATGATTTTAAATAATACCCCTCCATTATGATGTAACATAACATTATTTGTAGTATTTAACTAAAATTACCATTTTTTCTTATAAGAGATCATGTGGGTTTATTTACTAAACACCAAACTGATGTGATTTGAAATAGGAATTCCAAAATTTAGGCAAAACTATTAGACATGTAAAAATTCTCCAACTCAGCTCTTGTCACAGCTTGATTCTGTACTTTAGAATTCTGATTCTAGCTCATTACTAAATCATATTTAAAGAATAAGCTAATAGAATTTTCCAAATGAAAGTTGTTTTTTACTAGACACAAAATGTATTTTATTTAAAAAGAAATGCATGCACTTAATAGAAATGTTTTTTCTGATTGTATTCTGCTATCTTTCAGTTCCAGGTTTGGCTCAGAATATCACAGTAAATAATAAGGATACGACTAATTCACTCAGTGTGAACTGGACAATACCAGCAGGGAAAGTGGATTATTTCACAGTCATTCTGAGTGGAGACGTCAATAGAACATTCACAACTAATTCTACACAAGTGGATTTCACAGAATTACTGCCAGGCAGAAACTACTCAATCACTATACAGACAGTTAGTAGTAACTGCAGCCAGTCAGCAGCTCCAGTGATAGAGGCAACATGTGAGTATGATAGGATCAATGGGACAAAGCTATATCTTTATGTGGAAATCAAACAAACTGAATTCTAGTATACGTTTTAGGTTTTGTTATATTCAGATATCATGGGATAATTTGACTTGAACTATATCGTTGTCAAGGTTATTAACTAAAGTAAAATTTCAAGGTGATTTTCAAATGTATCATCAAAATAGCTGAACTTAAAAAAATGATCTAACTCAGCTATGCATCCAGTTCATCTACTTCAGCCATGAATTTGAAAATAAATTTGAATTCTCTCTTTAGTGAATAACCCTGTTAAATTCTGTAAATCCTACAATTTGAGTAACATTGGACTTTTTAGGAGAACTTGTGTTCATGTAGCATTGGATTCTTTCAGGATAATTGAATATAGAGTTAAATACATTATTTATACATATGTAATTAATTAATTAATTAATTGACTTTCTTATTTTTCTATTTCTTCATAGACCCGGCCTCTCCAGGTTCCTTAAACTTTACAAATATCGGAACAAACACCATTTCGTTGTCCCTGGGAGAACCAGTAAATATGACCAATGTGACAAAGACTTTCAAGATAACTTACAGCAATTCTTTATCCTCTTGGACTGTGTCAGTAAACACATTAAATGCCACACTTCAGAACCTCACATCTGGGACTAATTACACAATTACTGTAGTAACAGTTGGTGCTCGGCAGTATCAGAGTTCTCCTGTGACCAGTTCCATCTACACAAGTATGTTTACAGCATTCTGTATGTTCTGCAATAGAACGTGTCACAACTATGATATAAATATGTGTATATTTTGTAGTACACTAAGAGGCACATATTTGCTGGATTTTTTTTGCACATTAAATGAGAAGATGGGACAAACAGAGGGAAAATATGAAGAGCAGAAAAAATATTAATTTAACTAGTAGATATTAATTAAATATATAATATATAAATATGGATTTATTTTTATTGCTGCTTTTTTCCCCTCTATTGGTCACTTCTCACTTAATCTGTCAATAAAATAAATATTTAGTTACCATCCCCCACCATCAATTAATTAAAAGTCTAGTCCATTGCCGTTTTGTTTGTTTCATGATTCGACCATATGGTGCTTCGGAGTTGCGTAATTCTGATGACTCGCCGATTTCCCAAAATATAGACGAATGGCAAATTAATTTGAAACTGGAAGCACAAGTCTACTATTTAGGAGTAATGTATCCATTTTTTTTCAAGTTAACATAAATAAAGAAATAAAATGGATCGTGTTTTATTTTCTAACTCTAGAACCGATGCCGGTGAAACAGCTCAGAAATAATGGAACGACTACTGTATCTGTTTTCCTGATTTGGGGTCAACCTGATGAGTATAGAAGTGATTACACCTACAGAGTACAAACAGCCAGCCCTTTATCTGTAGTGATAGATCAAAGAACGGCATCAAATCAACTCAATGTAACTAATCTGACACCCGGAGTAACATATACATTCACTGTATTTACAAGAGCGGCTGATAATGTCACTGAAAGTCAAGCTGTCTCATATACAACCTGCACAGGTGAGTGTAAACTGGTATTAAAGGGAATCGACATACAGACACATTACAATACAGAGTCTGAATGCTATTAGTCATTACAAGGTTATATCAAATGTGTGTTTAATTATGTTTGTCTTAAGCTGTATTTAGCAGGTGATGTTGACTTGAGGCAATAGAATTATGAATTCTGAATAATTATTAATATTTATTTTTATTAAAACTTAACTTTTAATCTTTTCTTGTAAACATATACCTGTATCACATATTAAAAGTTTTAAAAAATAGCTAGGATTAATCTACAAACCAAAAATCGGCAATATCGCCATTTGTTCCAAAGTTTTCTAAACGTTTTCTACAGACAACTGTCTACGTGCGTTTTGATTCTGCATCTTAAGCACTTATGGTGGGAGAGCTCATATTACGGCTCGTGTATTGTATTTGTAAATCTCCTCAGATACCTTAAACACATATTATTTAATTAGTACTTTTAATAAACCATACTTTTCTTTCCTCTTATCTCTTACCTGAGTTTCCCCTGGTGCCTTCTATTGGACTCTTCTACACAGGGATTGTTAAAGCAGAGGTGTACCTTCTACTTTACATATATATAAACATCTTCTTTCCATTTAGACTTAATTTATTAGATCAGATAGTTAGCTGACGCTCTTAGCCAATGAATTCCATCCAAAGATCAATGCCATTGATATCACTAATGTGGAAGCCGAACTTTTGCTTTACATACCTGCGTGAAGACGTACCAAACTGCAGATTCCAGGTGACCTAATTAATTGTGATATTATTGGAAAACAGTTTCTCTTAACATTGGGATAGAGCCATGAGACTCTTTGTACCATGAGCGCTACAGTACACTTTAGAGGGTTTGGTGATTAGAGAACCTCTGAAAATGAAGCAAAATGTTAATTTGTGAAATTTTTTAAATCTATAGGCAATATGTTAAATGACTCTGTAACCATATCATGTATTCATTTATTATCAATCTTTTTTTAAATGATTTGGTTTATCATCATTTAAGCAAATGTAGAAAATCAAAGTCAAAGCAGCACAAGAAGAGGTAGATTTTGCAAAATACAAATGTACCTGATGATTTTAAATAATACCCCTCCATTATGATGTAACATAACATTATTTGTAGTATTTAACTAAAATTACCATTTTTTCTTATAAGAGATCATGTGGGTTTATTTACTAAACACCAAACTGATGTGATTTGAAATAGGAATTCCAAAATTTAGGCAAAACTATTAGACATGTAAAAATTCTCCAACTCAGCTCTTGTCACAGCTTGATTCTGTACTTTAGAATTCTGATTCTAGCTCATTACTAAATCATATTTAAAGAATAAGCTAATAGAATTTTCCAAATGAAAGTTGTTTTTTACTAGACACAAAATGTATTTTATTTAAAAAGAAATGCATGCACTTAATAGAAATGTTTTTTCTGATTGTATTCTGCTATCTTTCAGTTCCAGGTTTGGCTCAGAATATCACAGTAAATAATAAGGATACGACTAATTCACTCAGTGTGAACTGGACAATACCAGCAGGGAAAGTGGATTATTTCACAGTCATTCTGAGTGGAGACGTCAATAGAACATTCACAACTAATTCTACACAAGTGGATTTCACAGAATTACTGCCAGGCAGAAACTACTCAATCACTATACAGACAGTTAGTAGTAACTGCAGCCAGTCAGCAGCTCCAGTGATAGAGGCAACATGTGAGTATGATAGGATCAATGGGACAAAGCTATATCTTTATGTGGAAATCAAACAAACTGAATTCTAGTATACGTTTTAGGTTTTGTTATATTCAGATATCATGGGATAATTTGACTTGAACTATATCGTTGTCAAGGTTATTAACTAAAGTAAAATTTCAAGGTGATTTTCAAATGTATCATCAAAATAGCTGAACTTAAAAAAATGATCTAACTCAGCTATGCATCCAGTTCATCTACTTCAGCCATGAATTTGAAAATAAATTTGAATTCTCTCTTTAGTGAATAACCCTGTTAAATTCTGTAAATCCTACAATTTGAGTAACATTGGACTTTTTAGGAGAACTTGTGTTCATGTAGCATTGGATTCTTTCAGGATAATTGAATATAGAGTTAAATACATTATTTATACATATGTAATTAATTAATTAATTAATTGACTTTCTTATTTTTCTATTTCTTCATAGACCCGGCCTCTCCAGGTTCCTTAAACTTTACAAATATCGGAACAAACACCATTTCGTTGTCCCTGGGAGAACCAGTAAATATGACCAATGTGACAAAGACTTTCAAGATAACTTACAGCAATTCTTTATCCTCTTGGACTGTGTCAGTAAACACATTAAATGCCACACTTCAGAACCTCACATCTGGGACTAATTACACAATTACTGTAGTAACAGTTGGTGCTCGGCAGTATCAGAGTTCTCCTGTGACCAGTTCCATCTACACAAGTATGTTTACAGCATTCTGTATGTTCTGCAATAGAACGTGTCACAACTATGATATAAATATGTGTATATTTTGTAGTACACTAAGAGGCACATATTTGCTGGATTTTTTTTGCACATTAAATGAGAAGATGGGACAAACAGAGGGAAAATATGAAGAGCAGAAAAAATATTAATTTAACTAGTAGATATTAATTAAATATATAATATATAAATATGGATTTATTTTCATTGCTGCTTTTTTCCCCTCTATTGGTCACTTCTCACTTAATCTGTCAATAAAATAAATATTTAGTTACCATCCCCCACCATCAATTAATTAAAAGTCTAGTCCATTGCCGTTTTGTTTGTTTCATGATTCGACCATATGGTGCTTCGGAGTTGCGTAATTCTGATGACTCGCCGATTTCCCAAAATATAGACGAATGGCAAATTAATTTGAAACTGGAAGCACAAGTCTACTATTTAGGAGTAATGTATCCATTTTTTTTCAAGTTAACATAAATAAAGAAATAAAATGGATCGTGTTTTATTTTCTAACTCTAGAACCGATGCCGGTGAAACAGCTCAGAAATAATAGAACGACTACTCTATCTGTTTTCCTGATTTGGGGTCAACCTGATGAGTATAGAAGTGATTACACCTACAGAGTACAAACAGCCAGCCCTTTATCTGTAGTGATAGATCAAAGAACGGCATCAAATCAACTCAATGTAACTAATCTGACACCCGGTGTAACATATACATTCACTGTATTTACAAGAGCGGCTGATAATGTCACTGAAAGTCAAGCTGTCTCATATACAACCTGCACAGGTGAGTGTAAACTGGTATTAAAGGGAATCGACATACAGACACATTACAATACAGAGTCTGAATGCTATTAGTCATTACAAGGTTATATCAAATGTGTGTTTAATTATGTTTGTCTTAAGCTGTATTTAGCAGGTGATGTTGACTTGAGGCAATAGAATTATGAATTCTGAATAATTAGTAATATTTATTTTTATTAAAACTTAACTTTTAATCTTTTCTTGTAAACATATACCTGTATCACATATTAAAAGTTTTAAAAAATAGCTAGGATTAATCTACAAACCAAAAATCGGCAATATCGCCATTTGTTCCAAAGTTTTCTAAACGTTTTCTACAGACAACTGTCTACGTGCGTTTTGATTCTGCATCTTAAGCACTTATGGTGGGAGAGCTCATATTACGGCTCGTGTATTGTATTTGTAAATCTCCTCAGATACCTTAAACACATATTATTTAATTAGTACTTTTAATAAACCATACTTTTCTTTCCTCTTATCTCTTACCTGAGTTTCCCCTGGTGCCTTCTATTGGACTCTTCTACACAGGGATTGTTAAAGCAGAGGTGTACCTTCTACTTTACATATATATAAACATCTTCTTTCCATTTAGACTTAATTTATTAGATCAGATAGTTAGCTGACGCTCTTAGCCAATGAATTCCATCCAAAGATCAATGCCATTGATATCACTAATGTGGAAGCCGAACTTTTGCTTTACATACCTGCGTGAAGACGTACCAAACTGCAGATTCCAGGTGACCTAATTAATTGTGATATTATTGGAAAACAGTTTCTCTTAACATTGGGATAGAGCCATGAGACTCTTTGTACCATGAGCGCTACAGTACACTTTAGAGGGTTTGGTGATTAGAGAACCTCTGAAAATGAAGCAAAATGTTAATTTGTGAAATTTTTTAAATCTATAGGCAATATGTTAAATGACTCTGTAACCATATCATGTATTCATTTATTATCAATCTTTTTTTAAATGATTTGGTTTATCATCATTTAAGCAAATGTAGAAAATCAAAGTCAAAGCAGCACAAGAAGAGGTAGATTTTGCAAAATACAAATGTACCTGATGATTTTAAATAATACCCCTCCATTATGATGTAACATAACATTATTTGTAGTATTTAACTAAAATTACCATTTTTTCTTATAAGAGATCATGTGGGTTTATTTACTAAACACCAAACTGATGTGATTTGAAATAGGAATTCCAAAATTTAGGCAAAACTATTAGACATGTAAAAATTCTCCAACTCAGCTCTTGTCACAGCTTGATTCTGTACTTTAGAATTCTGATTCTAGCTCATTACTAAATCATATTTAAAGAATAAGCTAATAGAATTTTCCAAATGAAAGTTGTTTTTTACTAGACACAAAATGTATTTTATTTAAAAAGAAATGCATGCACTTAATAGAAATGTTTTTTCTGATTGTATTCTGCTATCTTTCAGTTCCAGGTTTGGCTCAGAATATCACAGTAAATAATAAGGATACGACTAATTCACTCAGTGTGAACTGGACAATACCAGCAGGGAAAGTGGATTATTTCACAGTCATTCTGAGTGGAGACGTCAATAGAACATTCACAACTAATTCTACACAAGTGGATTTCACAGAATTACTGCCAGGCAGAAACTACTCAATCACTATACAGACAGTTAGTAGTAACTGCAGCCAGTCAGCAGCTCCAGTGATAGAGGCAACATGTGAGTATGATAGGATCAATGGGACAAAGCTATATCTTTATGTGGAAATCAAACAAACTGAATTCTAGTATACGTTTTAGGTTTTGTTATATTCAGATATCATGGGATAATTTGACTTGAACTATATCGTTGTCAAGGTTATTAACTAAAGTAAAATTTCAAGGTGATTTTCAAATGTATCATCAAAATAGCTGAACTTAAAAAAATGATCTAACTCAGCTATGCATCCAGTTCATCTACTTCAGCCATGAATTTGAAAATAAATTTGAATTCTCTCTTTAGTGAATAACCCTGTTAAATTCTGTAAATCCTACAATTTGAGTAACATTGGACTTTTTAGGAGAACTTGTGTTCATGTAGCATTGGATTCTTTCAGGATAATTGAATATAGAGTTAAATACATTATTTATACATATGTAATTAATTAATTAATTAATTGACTTTCTTATTTTTCTATTTCTTCATAGATCCGGCCTCTCCAGGTTCCTTAAACTTTACAAATATCGGAACAAACACCATTTCGTTGTCCCTGGGAGAACCAGTAAATATGACCAATGTGACAAAGACTTTCAAGATAACTTACAGCAATTCTTTATCCTCTTGGACTGTGTCAGTAAACACATTAAATGCCACACTTCAGAACCTCACATCTGGGACTAATTACACAATTACTGTAGTAACAGTTGTTGCTCGGCAGTATCAGAGTTCTCCGGTGACCAGTTCCATCTACACAAGTATGTTTACAGCATTCTGAATGTTCTGCAATAGAACGTGTCACAACTATGATATAAATATGTGTATATTTTGTAGTACACCAAGAGGCACATATTTGCTGGATTTTTTTTGCACATTAAATGAGAAGATGGGACCAACAGAGGGAAAATATGAAGAGCAGAAAAAATATTAATTTAACTAGTAGATATTAATTAAATATATAATATATAAATATGCATTTATTTTCATTGCTGCTTTTTCCCCTCTATTGGCTTACCACTAACTGTCGCCACAAAAAACAAACATGTAGTTTACCATCCCCACCATCAATTAATTAAAAGTCTAGTCCATTGCCGCTTTGTTTGTTCTTCATGATTCAATCACCATATGGTGCTCGGAGTTGCGAATTTGATGACTCACTGATTTCCCAAAATATAGACTAATGGTAAAATTAATTTGAAACTGAAGCACAAGTCTACTATTTAGGAGGGTAATGCATCCATTTCTTTTTTTCTAAGCAACATAAATAAAGAAATAAAATGGACGTGTTTTTTTTCTAACTCTAGAACCCATGCCAGTGAAACAGCTCGGAAATAATGGAACAACTACTGTATCTGTTTTCCTGATTTGGAATCAACCTGATGAGTATAGAAGTGATTACACCCACAGAGTACAAACAGCCAGCCCCTTTATCTGTAGTGATATCAAAGAACGGCATCAAATCAACCCAATGTAACTAATCTGACACCCGAGTAACATATACATTCACTGTATTTACAAGAGCCGCTGATAATGTCACTGAAAAGTCAAGCTGTCTCATATATACAACCCGCACAGGTGAGTGTAAACTGGTATTGTAAAGGAATCATATACAGACACATTACAATACATACAGAGTCTGAATGCTTAGTCATTACAAGGTTATATCATGTCAATGTCGTCTTGTTGTATTTAGTAGGTGATGTTGACTTGAGGCAATAGAATTATGAAATTTGGAATAATTATTACTATTTATTTTTATTAAAACTTAACTTTAATCTTTTCTTGTAAACATATACCTGTATCACATATTAAAAGTTTTAAAAAATAGCTAGGATTAATTAACAAACCAAAAATCGGCAATATAGCCATTTGTTCCAAAGTTTTCTAAACGTTTTCTACAGACAACTGTCTATGTGCGTTTTGATTCTGCATCTTAAGCACTTATGGTGGGAGAGCTCATATTACGGCTCGTGTATTGTATTTGTAAATCTCCTCAGATACCTTAAACACATATTATTTAATTAGTACTTTTAATAAACCATACTTTTCTTTCCTCTTATCTCTTACCTGAGTTTCGTCTCGTGCCTGCTATGGGACACTTCTACACAGGGATTGTTAAAGCAGAGGTGTACCTTCTACATTACATATATATATATATTCATCTTCTTTCCATTTAGACTTAATTTATTAGATCAGATAGTTAGCTGACGCTCTTAGCCAATGAATTCCATCCAAAGATCAATGCCATTGATATCACTAATGTGGAAGCCGAACTTTTGCTTTACATACCTGCGTGAAGACGTACCAAACTGCAGATTCCAGGTGACCTAATTAATTGTGATATTATTGGAAAACAGTTTCTCTTAACATTGGGATAGAGCCATGAGACTCTTTGTACCATGAGCGCTACAGTACACTTTAGAGGGTTTGGTGATTAGAGAACCTCTGAAAATGAAGCAAAATGTTAATTTGTGAAATTTTTTAAATCTATAGGCAATATGTTAAATGACTCTGTAACCATATCATGTATTCATTTATTATCAATCTTTTTTTAAATGATTTGGTTTATCATCATTTAAGCAAATGTAGAAAATCAAAGTCAAAGCAGCACAAGAAGAGGTAGATTTTGCAAAATACAAATGTACCTGATGATTTTAAATAATACCCCTCCATTATGATGTAACATAACATTATTTGTAGTATTTAACTAAAATTACCATTTTTTCTTATAAGAGATCATGTGGGTTTATTTACTAAACACCAAACTGATGTGATTTGAAATAGGAATTCCAAAATGTAGGCAAAACTATTAGACATGTAAAAATTCTCCAACTCAGCTCTTGTCACAGCTTGATTTTGTACTTTAGAATTCTGATTCTAGCTCATTACTAAATCATATTTAAAGAATAAGCTAATAGAATTTTCCAAATGAAAGTTGTTTTTTACTAGACACAAAATGTATTTTATTTAAAAAGAAATGCATGCACTTAATAGAAAAAAATTTTTCTGATTGTATTCTGCTATCTTTCAGTTCCAGGTTTGGCTCAGAATATCACAGTAAATAATAAGAATACTACTAATTCACTTAGTGTGAACTGGACAATACCAGCAGGGAAAGTGGATTATTTCATAGTCATTCTGAGTGGAGACGTCAATAGAACATTCACAACTAATTCTACACAAGTGGATTTCACAGAATTACTGCCAGGCAGAAACTACTCCATCACTATACAGACAGTTAGTAGTAACTGCAGCCAGTCAGCAGCTCTAGTGATAGAGGCAACATGTGAGTATGATGGGATCATTGGGACAGAGCTATATCTTTATGTGGAAATCAAACAAACTGAATTCTAGTATACGTTTTAGGTTTTGTTATATTCAGATATCATGGGATAATTTGGCTTGAACTATATCGTTGTCAAGGTTATTAACTAAAGTAAAATTTCAATGTGATTTTCAAATGTATCATCAAAATAGCTGAACTTAAAAAATTGATCTAACTCAGCTATGCATCCAGTTCATCTACTTCGGCCATGAATTTGAAAATAAATTTGAATTCTCTCTTTAGTGAATAACCCTGTTAAATTCTGTAAATCCTACAATTTGAGTAACATTGGACTTTTTAGGAGAACTTGTGTTCATGTAGCATTGGATTCTTTCAGGATAATTGAATATAGAGTTAAATACATTATTTATACATATGTAATTAATTAATTAATTAATT